CCCCACGCGAAGACCTCAGCGTCCGGCGGACGGCGGCCCCCGGCGCTGGACTGATCAGGGCGCCCGCCACGGACCCGTGCGGCCAGCGGCGTCGTGCGCGAAGACCTCCGAGGCGGTGTGGACGGCGGCGTCACGGCGTGCCAACCGACCCGCGCTCCAGCGGGCGCCCACGGACGCTGCGTCACCTCGGCATGAACACCGCCTGGGCGCCAACCGTCTGCGCGCACGCGTCGTACTCGAAGACTCGGGAGGAGCGCTTCGGCGACAGTGTCAGCCCCGCCGGACACCGCGCAGGGGACGCCTGGACCGCGAGTCACGCCCTAGCGGCCCGTCTGCCGGCCGCGACCTGGCGCTGCCGTGCGGCCTGCGGCCCCGGACGCTGGTGGCGGCGGCTCCCCGCGCCGCTGCCGGCGCGCAGCGCGGCCACGTCAGTACCTGATTCGGTTATATTCCCCGTGGTGCCGGCGCGTCGTCACAGCCCCGGCGGGCCTGCCGGCCACGGAGTCTCGCTGACGACGGGCACCCAGGTCCTACCCGGCGACCGGGACCGGCGCACGCGCCCGCGTCCGCCTGCCGCCGCCAGCCCGGCCACCGAGAGTTGTTTTAGCACGTGACAAAGCTCTTTCGTTTTGACCTATTTTGTGTGCTGGTTGTTGCCAGGTCGTTTCTGCCTGGTGGGCGCTCGTGCGCCAATACGGCCCCATTCCCGCCCGGCGTGCGCGCTGCCCCTGCGTGCGTGTGTGTTTGTGTGCGCATGTGACTGAGGCGCCAGCTCACCCATGACCCCGCGGGACGTGCAATGTACCCGGTATGTCTCTCATGGATTGGCGAGGTGGCCGCAGGGCGTGAGAGGGCGGTGCTCAGCGTGAGGCGGCGAAGCATAAAGCCCAGCTCGCCGGCTGGCCTCCCAGTGCTGGTCCCCGTCGTCTCACGCACTGTCCAGCCAGCGGGATACAAAGAGAGCGACCGCCACGATCTGGATCCACTGCAGTCGAATGGAGGCTGACTGGGACTCGTGTTTGTGTGTGTCGCGAGCGCCGCTTCCGTGGTCGGGGCGGGAGAGCCATCTACCAGACGTCACAGAGCTGCTAGTGCCGCCTCGCGCCGTACAGGGTATCAGGCGAACGCTTTCCAATCGACCACGGCTACTTAAGGCTCAGATTTCGGATCTCCCAACCCCAATACTAGTGCTGGCCGACTGCGGGAGCACTGACGTGATAACTGGGAGAGAGCGAGAGAGTCTGCTTGTTGATTGGCGCGCGGCGGATGGGGCTTCTTGTTTTATTTTGGATGCGCTGCGTGCCGCACATCTAGTATTACAGCACGGGTGGTGAGCGTGGCGCTGGCATGCGGCCGCGAACGCAGCAGTCGATAGGCCCTCCCCGAGTAGAGTTGCTGGATGTCTGCCGCCGTCTGGTGAGTCATACCCGCAGGCCGTAGAGTACAAGGCGCGATGGGTTGTGACCGCTCACAATGCGTATGTATTCCGGATAGTGCGCCGTAACCGGTGCAATGCTGATAGATTTAAAAATACAGGATGTCGTCTCAACCACGCAGCCGTTTATCGATGCGTTTCCTCGGGTCGTTAACGTCAGGTGCACAGGTATGCGCTACACGAGTCTGCAATGAACGTGGAAGACCTTTGCGAGCGCGGGTGGAAGCTTGAAATTCTGAAATGATTTGGGAACGTTTCACCGGCCATGTGAATGAGCATGTCAGGTGGACGGTGAGAAAAGCGGTGGTTTCAGTCCGCCCGAAGTCCACGTCATTGACCACGGGTCCTCGGCCGTTGCTGGCCAGCGACTAATTTTTTGGCACCTTGGGTGATGCTTGAGGTCAGTAGGCTACCATATTTATAGACGTTTCCTGCGCATCTGATGCGTTTGTAGCGATGCAGTCCTACGGAGCATGAGTTATTTCAATGCTTTCCGGTTATGCGCGGACTTCGTCCCGACGATTCGAAGAAAGTGCTTCCTGCTGTTGGGTTCAGTAATCCGCTCTCCCGTAGGATATCGCTCAACGTTGTGTAATTCGAAAATCGGAGACTGGCAAGGCCTTGTAAACTACCTCCGCCTGTGTTGCCGCCCCGCCGCGCCCCTTGGTCGTGGACCAGTGGGAATCACGTACGGGTGTAGAGTGGTTGGGTCTCACTGTCATTGTTCTCTGCGAACCAAGTGTTAAATCCTGCATTCTAGGTAAGTGGCCGGTAATGATTCCTTCCGGATGTACCGGGTTATCCCCAGCGGTGCCCGCCCATTCCCCCCAAGACGAAAGCAGGCGACGCCATGTAGTCTCAGCTGCATGAGTGTATTAAGAGCCCCGAAAGACCCAAAACAAACTATCCAGGAGCAAACTGGTCATGGCCATCCATGCATTGTGTAATGCATGCATTGCATTATATTGCGCACATGTCATGCATGGAGAGTTGTATAATTGTTTGTGTATCAATTATATGTGTGCCCGGAGTTTCCAGCATGTTTGGCAACTTTTTCAACACAAAGAGAATAAGTGTTTCAGAAAGTTGGGATGTAGTGATAATTTGATGCAAAAAAATACTCCAGAAGTATTTTTCAGTGTGATTTTGGTCTGGCATTAGTTGGTACACGCAGGACGTTCAGCAAATGTCTGGCACTGACTTTTGCAGACTGGATGATGAGGGAGCACAGTTGCGTGACCATATCAGGCTGAGGTGTGATTGCAAATTATGCAAATTTTTCTCAAATATTGAAGGCCCTGAAGCCAAATGTGCTGGCCTCATCTTATGGATAGCAATAAGTTTGTATATGTCACACCTCTAGCTAAATAAGTGGCCAAACAGGCACTATCTTTTGTGATACCATGATTGTATAACTAAGGGGAAGTAGATTTCACCCAGTGTATCCTGAGCACAACCAGGGGTGTGGGACTATTAAACTGTCTTATGATATCCACAGTTTTTGAACATCGCCAAGTTTGCATGTACTTTTCAGAGTCTTCCATGATCGGAGTCCACGCTGAAAGAATGTTTGTTTACAACCGGACAATTTTGCAAGAATTGTGTTTGGCAAGCACATTGAATTTGATATTTTGGCAATTTTGCATAGTTTTACATGCCTTTGCATACTAAAAAAGCAATAATCAAAGCAATATTAATGAAGATTTAATGGGGACTGAATTGCTCAATGAGCTGTCTGGCTCAATGATGCCATGCTATTGGCTTCACTGGGTTCTGCCATCAGGAATAACAGAATCCAGTGATGATCAAGATAGATGAAAATGTGTCTATTCCTTCAGAGGAGGCTACCTGGATAATGTTCCTCTTATTTGGCTGTAAAATTGATATTCCAGGGAAGCATTTGGAAGCTTTCCATGGGAACTATATAAATGAATGCCTTAAAAGATTCCCTTGTTTTGTCACCCGCC